GGTCGCGATTATCCGCGGGAGGTCGCGATGTCCGCGGGAGATCGCGATGTCCGCGAAAACAAGCCATCCCCACAAGCAGGTGGGGCGTGGCCTTGCCAAAACGGCTTTGAAATGCCCTAAAAACGAGTTGCTGCCGATAAAAACAGGGAGGACTTGTTACGCGTGCAATTCGTTTTACTAGTTTCGGTTGCATCCCCTCAGCGCGTAGCTCTCGCGTAGCTCGCGCGCAGCTCCCATGCAGCTCGCGCGTAGCTCGCACATAGCTCACGCGCGGACAACACGTTTATCGCGTTCTACGCGTGCTAGGGGATGAGTCGCCGGTCGCGATGTCCGCGAATACAAGCCATCCCCTCGCGGTCGGGGTGATAATCGCGACCTCCGCGGACATCCCGGACATCCGAGATGAGTCCGAAACGCGTAGCACGCGTAGCACGGGTAGAACGCGATAAACGTGTTGTCCGCGCGTGAGCTACGCGCGAGCTACGCGCCGAGAATAAAAAAAATCATTTTTGGGCACTGGAGCAGACCTCCAACGATTTGGTGAAAGATCGGATTTTATTGTGGGTAAAGAAAGAGGCAAGGGGAGAGAGCGTCGGTCAGATCAAAACAATTAAAGATTAGATTGAGATTAAGATTAGAATTAGATTGGGCTGATTCTGCAGTTCGATTCCTTCGTTTGTGGGAGAGTGCGTACCTCTAGGGCGCTGGTGCGGCACTGAACGCACCGAGCTGCGGTGTTGTGCGATGGGGGCGGAGCAGAAAGAAAGAAAGGGAATATTTGCACACACGGTTGCAGTTCTTTCTTTCAGTTCCGCACCACACGAGCAGCACCGCCCAGAAAAGGTACGCCCTCACACACTTGAGAAGTGAATTGATTCTAATCGACCGCAGCTGATCTGATCGTAATCTTAGGGGATGCAACGAAAACGCGTAACACTCGTTAAACGCGTTTAACTAGTTTAACTAGTAAAACACTGATTAAACTCGTTTAACGACCTGCCCACTCGTTGAACGTGTGGGCCACTCGTGAAACGAGTGGAGAATGTGTGAAACGAGTAGAGAACGCGTGAAACGAGTGCCAAACGCGTGAAACGAGTAGAGAACGTGTGAAACGAGTAAAAACCACGTGGAACGAGTAAAACCCGCGTGGAACGAGTAAAAAATGCGTAAATAACGAGTAAAACGAGTAAATAACGAGTTAAAGGAGCAAAAAAACGCGTAAAAAACGAGTAAAATGACCACAAACCACCTGTGGCAACACTGATTAAACGCGTTAAACTAGTTAAACGCGTTTAACGAGTGTTACTCCTTTTCGTTGCATCCCCTTAATCTAAATCTTAATCGTAATCTAATTCTTCATCGTTAAATTACAATTCATCTTCTGTCACGGGAGCCACATCGCAGCACAGCAGCAGCGTCAAGTAGAGCTGCCTCCCCCACCCATCATTGTCTAATAATGTCGATTCACAATAATTAATTAATGATTTTTGAGTTACCCCAAAAAATGCATTTTCCGGCATCGTCCACGTGCTGTCGACGCGTAGCTTTTTTTTTTGAATGTGAACTTTTTGTCCGCTAGCACGGCGCACAAGACTACTACAGGGGATGAGTCGCCGGCCGCGATCTCCCGCGGACCGCCTACTCTTCACCGCGGGGAGGTCGCGATTATCCGCGGATGATCGCGATGTCCGCGGATAATCGCGATGTCCGCGGGAGGTCCCCTAAGGGGATGCAACGAAAACGTGTACAGCTAGGTTTAAGAAAGAACGAACACACATGAAATTCGATGATGGTTGAAGGAAAACTCACCAGCCTTGAAAGCTCTCAGGGTAGGAGTGGTGCCAATCACTTCGTCAGGCGATGCGCCTCAGGGGGAGAGCAGTGTGAGGATGGTGTGACAAGCCATTGCGGAGCTCACACGTTTAGTCGTCCTTGTAAGTAGTTAAACTAGTAAAACTAGTAAAACTAGTTTTACACGTTTTCATTGCATCCCCCAAAGATCGGATTTTATTGTGCGTAAAGAAAGAGGCAAACCCACAGGTGCCAATCACGGTGCCAGGCACTGGGCCTTCATGGGTGAGCAGAGTGAGGACTGTGTGACAAGCTGTTGCTGTTTACATGAATGGCCATGAGTAGAAAAATAGTTCTACAGAGTGAACGAGTGCTTCAAGTTAAATGAGGCCTACTCATTTTCATTGCATCCCTGAACCGTAGCCCTATGGCAAACCCTAGCCCTAACCCTAGGGCAAACCCTAACCCTAACCCTATGGCAAACCCTAACCCTAGCCCTATGGCAAACCCTAACCCTAACCCCAAACCCTAACCCTAACCTCTTCAACACACACATGACAACACTCCACCCCTGGCCTAATTGGGCCTTGGTGAGCCAGCTCAAGAAGCACCATATGCAATAAATCCTTTTGTGTTCCCCTACTTGATAATCATGACTTCCATGGTTTTCTGTGGATAAGACACAACTCCTCATGCATTTCTCATGGTCACATTCGCTCAGGTGTGTGAGGGTGGGGGGTGCCTGTTGAGGAGGGGAGGGAGATTTGCCCTATTCCGACCCTCGCGCTGCTTCCGAGTCTGAGGGACGGGTTTTGGTGTTAGGGGTAAGAAGACACAGCTGGGGTCATTGAGGAGTTCATCCCACGTCCTCCCAGGTTGCCGATGCCGCATTCATCCATGGCGTGCAGTAGGGCCACGTCGTGTTCACCTGGATTCCACCACTGCCGCACCTTGCCTCGTGTCACCGCTCCGTTGCGTGAGGTCGGCACGCGAGACGTCACCATGTCATGTCAATCAGCATTTCGTGTCGCTGTCCCACCACAACCCAGCCGCGGAAAGGGAGGCTGGCTGGTTGTGGTTGGGCGAGGAACGGACCTCCTCCTGTTGCAAGTGTGAGGAACGATACGCGGCCGTGTCGTCTGGGCGCCCAGTGGAACGGGACCCACGAGACCAATTCAGAGTGCGGGAGAAAAAGAGAACAGTATATTTCCGTGGGAAAATACAAAATAAAGGAAATACGAAAATATGTATACACGTCATGCTGACATGTCACAGAGTGAGAGTAGGAAAGACACAACGGAGGTGAGTGCAACACCTCCCACAGCGTGCCACACACTCGATGGGATCATATCTCAAGGTCTTGAATTGATTTTCTGCGGCATCGTGCGTCATGTACAGTACGGACAGCGCTGTACCTACGACCGACGAAACGCGTGGCCTGACAACCTGATGAATTTCTTTTTCTTTTAAGGGGGCAGTATTGTTTTGAATAAAAAAAAGTCGAGAACCGTGGGCGGCCCGCAACACCATCGGCGCTCAAAGAATGCACTCTGCGGCGGAGAACAGATGGTGGCGCAATTCCAAATATGCAGCTACTTCCCACACCAGCGGCTGAGTGGGACTTAGCAAAATTATGCCATTCTGGCCAGAGTTTCATAATCAAAACACATCATTCACGCACAGATGGCTTGATCATCTATTGAATTTCAAGCTCTACATGCCCACATGGACTTCGAGGAGCTACAGACGCCCTGCGGCCACTCCCTTGAAAGTGCCCTCCCAATCTTTTGAGTCCCATTAGGCCTATTTGGGCCAATTATTTATCACCAATGACTCAACCTAGTCAGGCCAAAAACCACTAGCCAGCTCAGCCAGGCCTTGCGAAGATGAATGCACCCTTTTTCATGAGCGGATGGGCCTCCATTGGGCCAATTGAGCAAAGATGGCGTCGCCACAGCCTCCTGTGCGATCGACATCCCCACCGCCATAGGGCGTGATTTTTCTCAGTCAGTTTCGCCGTGGGTGGCGCTTATAATAAATGAATTTAGAATTGGGTTTTTGGGGTGCTTTTTTCTACGAAGGAGAGTGGGACTTAGGAGAAATGAAGTACATTTTTCGAATTTCTTAACATACTTTAGATTTTATCGCCATCGCACCTCCTCAAATTCGCATTCTTTGAGCGCCGATGGTGTTGCGGGCCGCCCACGGTTCTCGACTTTTTTTTATTCAAAACAATACTGCCCCCTTAAGAAATATGTCGACTTTCGTTTGCCCTGCGGAGATACGCGTGGTCGCTCTGGAAAAATAAAACGAAAACAAAAAACAAAGGTAATTCTTTTTCGTGCACCACCACCGAGGCCGGAAGAGGAGGAAGAGGCCCAGCAAGGAAGTGGGAGCGCCCGCCCCCTCGCCACTCTGCAGGCAACACAACAAGATGTTGGCGCACGTGCCCCGCAAGAGGAACCAGCTTCGATTCCATAAACTCTTCGACCTTCCGGAGACCGAGGAACTCGACGACGGTACCCCCCCCACACCCATAAATCCTTCTCTCTCTCTCTCTCTTGTCTGCTCTCTCCCCTTTTTCTTTGTACCTTGCCTCCCAGCCCTATATTTCATTTCGCCTCCCACCCGCCCACCAGTGCTTTGGGGTGGGAGCCGCCTTTGGCGAAGCCCCCCCCCACGGTGTTCGTGGTGGCGGTGTCTTGCGTGCTCACGCCGCACTCGCGCCACAAACACACACACACACACACACACACACACACACACGGGTGAACTCGTGCCAACTCACGGGTCGGGTCGGGTGGGGGTGTGCACAGTAATATCGTGCGTGGTGGGCCAGCACGTGCCTCCGCGCCTGGGCAACATCTACGTGACGGCACACCACCTCTGCTTCCACTGCGGCATCCCCACCGCCAAGTTCAAGGTGGGACCTTCCTCCCTTGGGCCACCACCTGCCTCCCCCCCATCTGCATCGATTGACGACCTCCTCCTCATCTGTTCCTCCTCCTCCTCCTCATCTGCTCCTCCTTCTCCCCCTTCTCCTCGTGATGACGGTGGCGTGGTGGTGCCGTGGCGTGGTGGCGGCGGCGGCGTGGTGGCGTGG